GCCAGGCCGGCCCGGCGAAGCCGGGCCGTGATAAAGAAGGAGGAGCACCCGGCGACAGCCGGGTGATCCGACTGGTATATAATAACTGTGGGACAGCATTGGGCGACGCCGTTCCACAAGACAAACTTTCTGTCGTCCACCATTGACGGAAATCGTCGTCAACGCGTTAAGTGGACATGATATTTTTGTTGAGGGGGTCGGTTCACCGGTAGGGACAAGTTTTCAGGGAATTTGATGATCTAGGACATTTTGGCGCGGGCGCTAGGCAGTTTTGTGGCAAGCGATTGTGATATTCGTGTTCAGGGTCAAGCTAACCCACGAGACAGGTTTTCAGCTATGTTACCACACCGCTACAACGACAGAATCCAAAGTGCGCTGCACTGTGTGACGCTCACGGAATCCGTCCGTGGTCCGACTTTTGCCCACAACTCAGCATTCTTGTGATAACTTTCGGATCGCGCACTGCGGCGTTAAACAGCAGTTATCAAACAATAACAGCTAGCCCCTTCGTCACTTAAAAAAGACAGCAATGTAGAGTTGGTCCAGTTGCAGCGACTAAGGTGCGCGTCAGGCAGGATGCCTAGTGTAGTGCCAGACTCGTTTTCCACCAGCTGCTGAAGCGAGCAAGTAACAAGACTACATCATATCGTTCGTATCACTCGTTTTCTACCAGCTGTTGTCGTATACCCGCTTCAACAACTGGCGAGAACGGGTTTGGCCCACTGATACGCATGACACGTCTCTTCGTCGCAGCGAACTAGAATGTAACCACCTGGAAATCACCGTAATCACTGCCGCAACCAAAATGTGATCAATGTGACGAGTTTATCCGAACTCACAATTCAACAATTAACAACGGCATTGACATATTCCTAAACGTCCAGGAATATCACGTATAACGTAGAGTATCCGTATCACTTAGAGTTAATCACTAACCGACATGATTACGGTAATAGTTTATTAATTAAGCAAGTGAATAATTTACAAACATTCTGACTTGCCTACAAAACTGCGGTTAATTAGAATCAAGAACATCATTTTCGCTTCTTTCGTTCTATTGAAGGACTGGAAGGACGAACTATCGAAACAAATGATCGGAACAGCTCTATTGACCGTCCCTGCAAATGGATCAGTTGAGAGGACTATGTCATATACAGTCTGTTCGCAGCCGATGATGGGGCGTGTCGGTGAAGCTGGGTTTGGCGCGCTGCCAGCCCGTTGTCCACCAGTTGTTCCAAGCGGGTACGCAATAACAGCTGGTGGGAAACGACTAATACTAACGATATGATACAGCCTTGTAGCTTGCCGAAAATAAAAGGGAAAAATGGGCTGGCGCTGCGCCACTCCCATTCCCTTGAAAACCCATCAGTCGCAGCGAACAATACTGTACGCCCCTGAAGAACTGGCAATGAAAATGAACGGTACCTGATTGAAGAAAATCAAGGCGAGCAGTCCAAAGAAGGGCAATGCTAATAAAGAACCGGCGCTAATCTCCACTTCACCCGAGCGTTTCGATGAGGTGATTGGAATACGAACCACACGTACGGGTGCGTCGGTTATGAAGAACACTAAAATGAACGGCTCCCGCGGTACTGCTACTCAAACACTATACTGTATGAAAACTAAAAATCTTATAAATAAAAAACCAGGACTACGAGATATTACCTGTTTTCGCCGGGAAGGTCTGCGGTGGTCGATCCGGCTCTACACGAACGGAATATTCTCTACTATCGCGAGGCAAATTATTCAAGTAGAATACCGTAACCGGAGCGTGAACTATTGACTGCGAAATAGTTTCACCATCACGCTGCACAGACACTCGGTACGATTGTGGTACTGGCATCGAGCCAAATTCTAGCTGTAAAACTCAGATTAAGGTACTCTTTTATGAGAAGGTCACCTTTCTGTAAGCGACTTTTAGTTTCTGACCCTTCAGCGTGGTAATAACACTTGATTAGTAATCTGATTCCTAGAAAAATAAGGATCTAGTTGTTTTCCACACGCGCAATTAAGAACTTTATATAACTAAAACCCCACACCTGACATAATCTTTACGCACTGCAAAACGCCCAGTTGTGGGATTGCTGAAACAAGAGGGATGCGGGTCATGAGATTCGAGTTGCGGCAACTTCCGGAAACTAGTTCAGAGGGCAGAGGGCACCCGGCAAAGTGATGACTTTCCATGACCCGTATAACATATGTCACGCATGTTCAGGCACCTGCAGCACAACTCGGACCTCCAGATCCCTACCCTCCAGACGTATGCGTTGCACCAAGCCACGTACTCTGTTGAGCACGAGATGAGGCCCACATTGAGTTTGGCCACGGATCATAGACACTATCGCTACTCTAAAGGTAAACATTTGCTACTCACCTCAACGGCGAGATCCGTGCTCGAATCGTACGGCGCTGCTACCATATCCAAACCTTTAAGGTCTTCAGCAGTCATTCTGACATCGAACTGTGATGGGAAACAATGCGGAACGGCTGTTCCTTCAGCTCCGGCTGAAATAATACAAAAGTCTGAATATCATGCTACACATCCACACTGCACCTGCTTCTCTCAAATATTGGGACAAAGGCAGTAGGGGGAGGGGATGAGGGGTCGGATGATATGGCGTGTCATGAATTACGTCAAAAAAACTCCCTTCCGCCCTACAACAGCTTTGGATTTGGAACGGCACCAGCCAGTTTTTTTAGCAACCATAGCTGCGTGCCAGCTACCGCAAACAGGTGGAATAGGCTGGCGCCGAATCCAGCCCCCTGACACGACCCAGCTGTAGAAGGTGCACAAAGGTGCATCTCAGCCCCAGATTTCAATTTTAAATATGGTTCAGTTCAAATAAGGCCGCGCGGATTGTTGACTGATAGAGAGCAGCGTCCCAGGAACGTCTTACAACTCACATACCATTTTCTCAAATTTGAAAATTGGCGAACTTCACCAACCAACCTTTAATCGACACTCGATATTGACAGCCAGGTTTCAATGCACGGATACGATAAGAACCATCTTTTCCGGTGACAGCTTCTGATTGATGCTGATCGCATTGTTCAGACAGCGCTTCCACCACTGCTCCAACCACAGACGATCCGGACATCTCAAAACCTTAATAATTGCAAAGTGAATGATGAAGTCGGCCCCTCGATCTATAATTGTAGGCGATAGGTGGGGACCAATAGCAGAATAGCAGCCGGTAAGTCACACAATAGCGAAGAAAAACAGAAGAAAACACCTCGAAATGCCTAGGTGTTAGCCATTCAGGGATGAAACGAAGAAAGGGTGTGCTTGAACGTGGACACTTTTCAACCCTTTAATGAAGGAAACTAACCAATCGTTAAGCTGTAAGGAGTCCTTACGCATAACGAGCAAAGAGAACTGATTACCTGACTGCCAATAAGGAAAAATTTAGAGGGCTAAGTATCATGTAAAGGGAGAGAATTGTAGTCAGAATTCACGGCAAAGATGCCCTTCAATAGCTACGTCTTTAGACTTCGCTATTTCGAAATAAGCGTTAGCTAAGTTGAAAGAAAAGAAAAGAAATAGCGACCATGCCCTTGGAGCGTGTCCGGTGACAAACATACAGCATCGCGATGTGTGAAATGTGCGACCCCTCCCCCTTTCCCGTCCTAACACCCATATGATTTCCCAACTTACTACCGCTCTTCCTTAGCTTTTTTCAAGAACTGGAAACGGTAGGGGATGTCTTCACCGTCATCATCGCCTGAAACTAACAGTCAAGAAACTGTGGTTATAGAGTGATTCTACGGTGTCACCAACTACAGAGGACGGCGACCAAATACCACCTTCTCCCTTCCTGACCCGGTACCACCGCTTGATGAGGTTCCCCCAACAATGTTGTACCGTGTCTGCACTACCTGGTACCTCTCACTTCGATACGCACACTCCACCTAGGCCCATACACAAGCTCTGTTTTCACCCATCACCACTACTCTAGAACAGAACCAAGAACGAACCCGACTTCAATTTCATCTGCCTCAGACAGCCAAGGATCTCAACAGATGAGCATTTCTGCGTTCAAGTCGCGAAACCATCTCCTTGCGTATCCTCACCGGCACCGAACGCGGGTGACATTATCACACTGGGTCTCCGCGCGCCGTATCTACGCGGGGTTCCCTGTAATTAGTTCATCATCGCCAAATAGTTATTACACCTTTTCGACGTATGTCACTTTCAGGGATCCATTGAAACCAACATCTCCCAAAAGGTTTCGAAGAAAGCAGTACTACCGAAACCTTGCGCGGAACACGGACTATCGATCAATACCCCAAAATTGTTGGATATGAAAAATGAGAATATTAGCTAAAACAGTAAATAAGAACTGTACATAAACCCAGTGCAACTGAAATTACGGCCCAAATGACATGCTTACAAAAGCCATATCTCTGTGAATTTACCTGAATGCCACTCTTTTTCCACGAAGCTCAACATGTTCGTGCTGACCCTCCTTCACTGTGATCGTCGTCGTTGATGGTTCAAACTTATACTCCTGCAGGATTGCTCGAAGGAAGTAATCACCAGGGGCCTAAATACTCAGCAGTTGCAAAAATTAGGTTTTATTGAGTAGGAGTGAGTCTAAACACATCAGACTCCCAAAAGTTATATGGACCCAACCAGGGGGCGAGTTGTAGTCTATTTCGAAATTCGCCATCCATTCCTCATTCACAGAGCATTGTATTGATGTTGCAGATGCAATTTAGCCTGGACAATTACTAGCATGCTAGCCTATGTATCAGTAAGTATTGTTATCCTCTCAG